CTCCGTCCTCTAATCCATTAAAGAGATAAATGTAAATTTTAACTAGTCTAAATCGATTAGAAGTCGATCAAAAAGAGAATTTCTACTTTATAGTTACCGTGAAATCATCATGCTTCTTAGCCATCATGCAAAAATATTTTCTTACCTTATGATTACTTTTGTAGTCGCTCTCCTCTTCAAAATATACGAGTAGAGGTCCAAAACTAGCCGCTTGGATATCGCACCACGCCTTAAACGCTCTTTCATAGACATACATTTGTTGAATGTTCCATACAGTTAGGGTTGACTTTGAGATTTGGGTGCTTTAAAGTTAACTTGAAATAAGGGGCACCTAAACATATGTAAAAATATATAAAATAATAAAAATACTAGCTTTTATTAATAAAAAATATTCAAAATTACAAAAATAATAATATAAAAATTTCAAATGTCAAGATTGAATTTACTCATTTAGAATTTTTGATTGAAAACCAATAATTATACTATTACAATCAATCTGTTTTAGAATTTCTTTTTCAATAGACAAATGATCAGTCTTTTGACCAAAAATAGAACTATATCAACTTCAACATTGATAAGGAGCTCCTCTCGATGGACGCAAGTGTATAGGTGAATTCAAGTGTAAATGATACAGTGAGTAATATTTACAACCTATCAAAATATTTTAAAAATAGTCAATCATTTTTATATAATTTAAAACTTCATTCACCTTTTTTTTGTGTCTTTTGACAAATAATTTCTAATAATTTACAGCTCAGAAAATAACTTAGATCATCAATATCAAAATCCTTGTCATGCTTAAGTTCTTTTTTCTTTTTTTCCAAGCTTATCACATCAACTCTCAAAACAATTATCATCTACAATTTCAAATTTTTTAAGTCAAATAAAAAACCAAAAATATTTTCATACTTTTGAAATTATCCAAAACCTTAATTTGTGTCAAGAAATAACTTAATCAACTACATATAAGAAATAATAAACTCTACTATTTTATCTTATCATTAGAGGTGGGCGCGTTTGAAATCAAATTCTTTAATAATTTCAACTTAAATTTTCCAATGCATTTTTGATGATGACTTCTATACAATTCCAAAATTTTTTTTTAACTTTATAGTTAATCAATTTAATTTAATTTTAATTTTTTGTAGCCGTTGAATTTTTTAAAACATTTTTTTCCTCAATAATTTTGTCTGTTATAGGGCTCAGAAAGTGTACAGGAACATCCCAACTAAGTTTGCATCTTCGTAGCACTCTCATCATTTACTCTCCCAACTCTTAATAATAAAAGAAACAATAGGTCGTATAGAAAATAGTCTCAACATGCTGGAGAAATAATGAACAAAATCAATGTTAAATGATAACTAAATGAAAAATGTTATTTGTACACCAGAGCATCATCTCATAACGGTATTGTCATGAGATGGCTAGTTCAGAAATAATTAATGCCATCACTTCTAGTTCAGCTACGAAAGCCCACAAAATTACCGAGAGGGATTGTAAAGAAACCTTTCACGAGCCCCCTGTAGTTGTAAAACAAATCAGCACATCCAGCTTCACCCGGGTTTCCATGGGCTGCTCCATCAGTATTAGCCATCACCCAACCTGCTACGAAAGTCAATAATATCCCTATATTCATTGGACAAATATGTACTGTATTAATTGTAGGATCTTACATATTCTAGAATTCTATTATACTTAGATTACCCGAAATAGATTAGCAGAATTATAGGAATATACTTGTGCTTGTGTATATATATCTTCCGATTCAACGAATGTTATTCAAAGCAATATTCTCGTCTTCTTTTTATGGTATCATAGCGGGCACAATAATCTAGCTTTCCGCCCTCCTTTATGGTATCAGAACAATTGTCATCTCTTTGAATGCCAAATCCAAATTGGGTTTCATCGATGGAACGGCCACAAGGCCATCTGCCACAATCAACCCAGAAGAGATTTGGAGGGATTTGCTCACACCTATTACGCAGACAGTGTTATTTTTTCAACCATGCCAAAGAGATTTGGAAAGACATTCATAGTCATTTTTCTCAAAGAAATGCCCTGCATATTTTTTGGATTGAGAGGGACATTGCTTGTCTTTCTCAAGGTTAGGTTACTGTTAAGGCATACTATACAAGGCTTAAAAATTGTCGGATGACCTGGGCTCCTGTAACGACACTATTTGCTTTTGTGGCACAAACAATAATAGGTACAGATTGATGCAATTTCTCATGGGACTCAGCCCTATAATGCTATACGAGGATAGATCCTATTGATGAATCTGTTGCCTGATGTTGCATAAGTTTACTTTTTCATTGTTCACGAAAAGCATAAAGGTACTTTGACGGGGAATGGAAACAAGGTTTAAATTCAGGTGCTGCTTATTTTCTTTTTTTTTGATTGAATCCATCTAAGGATTCAAGTACATTTTAGTACATAATAGAATTGACGGTACACTGTGTTACGCGCCATATATTTATCAAGGGAGTTAGTACGGTAAGGCTGATCAAACGGTTAAAACTTCAGGCTTCCGCCCGAACCACTGAATTTAGACGTAACAGTTGATTTTCGGGGTCGGTCTCAAGCCTAGATGAGAAAAAATATTGCAGTGGGTTGATGGTCAATATGTCCTCGCGTCAAATAAGAGAGATCCTTGTCAATTAAATAAAAATATATGCCAAGATCCACGGCCTCGATTATTACGCATGAACATAATGTTAATTTGATTACGCAGTTCATTCTTCACAATATTCATTTAAAATATCTCAACAAATCTTTCTACAAATTAACCAAAGCTTGCATAAATATAAAATATACCAAGCACCTTAGTAGGTACTTTTAAAAAATAAAAAATTGGCCAACCAGATGTTGACATATGACACCTAGATTTAATCCAGGTCTCCGTTCCTACTTTTAGCAACACAATCACAAAAATATCTTTTACTTTAAAATCACCGCAAGTGCACGGTTTGTTAACAAGTAATAAAATGAATTTTGAGTCCAAGACACGTATTTGAAGATGAATGGATATCCACCAGGACACCTGAAACATGCACCAACCAGGTCCAGTCAAGAAGCCCAACAACAGCAAGATATTCAATCAGTGATGAGTGGGCTCTCCATTTTACAAATTCAGCACATACTGCCCTTGTTTGAGCTCCATTCTCTTGAAAAAATATATTTTTAAATAGTATTTTGACATAATTTCAATCACATATTTTTCAATAAAATAATGTTACACGCAAATCCAAAACTTTCCTTATTTTTTAACCATACATTTCCCATTAATACACTATTCAAAAATACATTCTTTTATAAAAAAATGGGGCTCAAACAAGGCACCATCTATCATGCAAGGCAAAGGGACATCACAATCTGCCAATCCCAAGGCAAATGCTGCATACTTCCTCAGTTCTTCACAATCTGAGTTGATCTTTAGTAATTTAACCTTGCAAAATCATACAGACAGGAAATTGAAAAATCCAAATTGATAAATGAAATCTACAATATGCGTGGCTATGGTGGTGTAAATTAGGGGGCTCAAACCATAAGCCAATCTCCACGAAAGGCAACACCACAAATTGGACCCAAAGACCAAATCCAAACAGCCCACTAAGGGTTCCAAGAAGGCGATGGACGGACGTTTCACGAAGAAGGAAAAATAGGGCCGAAAATAGGAAGCAGAGGCACAGGTTCTAGCTCAAAACAAAGGAGCAGCCATGAGTACTCTTTTCAACATAGAGGAGCCTTGTGTACTGTATGCAAAAGACAAAGAGATGGATCCTTTAAATAATGGCAATTATGAATTCTCCTTCATAACACTATTGCAAAATGCCAACCCCTTAATTTGTACGTAAACTTGTTCGCTCGAAAACTCCATTCCATTGAGAGCAAGAAGTCGATCAAATAGATTTATTAGGAGCAAATCTATACTTTCGTAGAACTTTCCTTGTCTCAACATTTAAATAAATAAAGGACCGACACTTAAAAAGAAACATCACAGCTTCTTCAAAAAACTTTGCTAGGTAGACACTGTCTACTCACTCTATCAATGCTCTAAATGCAAAAGTGTACAATTTCAACCCCTTATCCCATGTTGAGTCACAAGCACCGCCTCGACAAGCATGAACGAGAAACAAGAAGAAAAACTTGTAATTCAAGTAGATACTCCCGATATACTATACGAATATGTGATCGTCAAATTTGATTGGTGTTTTTGCCTCTAAAATAGCAAGAAGAAATTTATTTAACTAATTGTTTGAACTTTTTGGTTTGATGGTTTATAATATAAATCGTTTCTATGATATATTTCGTTGTTGTTTTAATGTTAGTTTTTTAACTTAGCAATTAGTCGCATAATATACCTTTGAATTTTGTTGCTGTGGGGCCTAATTTTCATCGTTCGCCTCAGCGCCCATCAAATACAAGACCGGCTCTGATAACAGCTATATTTTTCATTCTCATTTGTACAATAATGTGGCTCAAACAGGGGCTAATATTGATAAATATAACATTAATCTTTTATTAATATTTTCTCCCCCTCAAATAAGCACTAATGTTCGAGCATGTTTGGGTGGACTTTTTGTCTCTACCTCACGACTTCAACGAAAAGGCCGGCTAGTTGACTTCGTAGCCAACACCCACGTGACCGATGATTTCTTATGGAATGATGCTGTCATGAATTTAACTTGTACTCAATTTACGTTACATTCTATAATCGTTGAAGGTAACATGATCTAATTTTTTATTTTTATTTTTAATTTTTTCAATAATTTCTCGTAATGGACATAATGAATCCTCCCAACCATATAAAGCCATTGTTATAAGGATTCTTAATTATATAATTTATGTTAAACTTCATATATAAAGATAGCTGATATGCTTTTCACAAATTGTTAGATTCTTAGCACCAACTATTATAATATAATTACTCAAATTGAAAATAAATCTCCTCTGTTTCACTTTATTTTTTTCAGAAAAATGATAATAAAAAAAATAAATCACACGGCAGCTGGGTCGAGCCCGTTTTAATCTTCCAAGTGATTTATTAATGGTTTTTAGTCTATCTTTACAATTGAGCTACCAAATTATGAAGACGAGGTATTTATTTAAATCTTTACTCCTTGGCTATAAAAGCCTATGAAGTATAATATCCCACCAGTTAATGATCGAAGCCCCTATAGTTTGTTTGGGATCAAAACTGAACAAACCTCCACCATGGTTCCAAAAATACACACGCTTAGTAGTCCGCAAACCTGCCAGGTATAATCAATCTTCAAGCATCCCTGCGAGACTCCACCGCTCGTGTCCGCATGTACCACCACCGTCACTATGTGAGGGCTTCACATGCCATCGCACTTGCTACTCCACGTACCACGCGTGCCGACCAGGGAGCTTTGCCTCATCATCTGGAGTCGAAAGGTTGTCTTTATTTGATCTACAGGCGTCTGGTTTGGTCCAAAAACTCAATTGCAGGTGTGGGTTGGTTGATTTTCGACAGATTTTACACAGCTTCCTTCACTATCAGTTTTTTCCTTCCTGTTTTTGCACACGCAAGGCTCTAATACCAAGTTGCAGTCCATTAACCTCGCAAAATCACCAAAAGAATACAAAGTTAAAACCAGAAATAGAAAGTAATTGATAAGAAACTGAGGAACCCAAACTGACAAATGAAATCTCTGATATGTGAGGCTATGATGGTGTAAATTAAGGGCTCAGACAATATCGACAAAAGGCAACACCATAAATTGGACCGAAAGACCAAATCCAAACAGCCTACTAGGGGTTCCACGAAGGGAATGGACGAAAGCTTTACGAAGAAGGAAGAACATGGCTGAAAATTAAAAGCAAATGCACGGGTTCAAGCTCAAAGCAAAGGAGCAGCCGTGGGTTCTCTTTTTAATGGAGAGGAGTCGTGTGTACTGTATGCAAAGACAAAGGGATGAGTCCATTAAAGAATGGCAATTAGGTTACACTAAGTAAGCCCTTCTAGAATAAATCATGGAGCAAGTAGGTGTAGCCCATTTAATCATCTAAGTGATTTATTTTGGGGAAAATTTCACTGCCAAGAAGTTAAGTATCATCTATTTTAAAACTAAAAGTAAAGTTTCAAATTTCAAAAATAAAATATTTTAAAATTTTATTTATACACTAATTTATTAAACATATATTTTATTAATTAGATATGTTAAGGTCACAATTTTATGCAATCTAGTCACAATTTATGAAGTAACTGGTTACAAATTAATTTTCAGTCACAATTTATTTTTTGATCACTAATAAAAAAAATTTATAGGTCAAAGATTATTTATCGGTACAAATAAATTTTTTTATAAGTTACAGATTATTCATAGGTCACAAAATCAAAACTTTTATAGGTCACAGCTCATTTATTCATTGCAAAATTATTAGATTCATTAGTCACAATTAATTTTTCAGTCATAACTTAATCAATTGTAAGTTACAGTCACAATTTTTATGTCACATATTACAAATTTATCAATTACTAGTCATAATAAATCAAATAATTGGTCACAAACATCCAACCCGATCTTATCCCATCTACCACCGTCGCCACAACCACCACCATCACTATCACCATTACTCCCACTAGATCTCGTAAAACTACAATAGTCCCCAAACATCAATAAAACTGTTGCAATGTCGCCCAACCACCAAAAAAATCACCGCCACCACCAACAAACACTGCCACCAATGCTACTCCAACATACCATAACGAAACTAATGCTTGCTCCACCACCTGTAACACTACCACTGCAACCCAACCCAATATTGCACCGCCATTATCACTGTAACCACCACATAGTTCGTCCCACTCTGCTGCCCCTGCTACAACCACAACTACCCATTATCTTCTTCAGCTTCAATCTGCAGCAACCACAACCAAATCACATTCCACACGCAAAGCACCCGCCATAATCATCACCACCACCACCACAAAAAAATCGAGGCTCACATAACCTATGCCATCCTACACAACAAGCACCCACATAATCACCACCACACCACTGCCGACCACCACACCATAGCATAATAAGCCAAATAAAAAAACTCCCGAAAAAATCAAGGCTTGCATCACACATGACATCCCACACACAAAGTACCCGCCACAACCGCCACCAACACTGCCAACTACTGCACAATATATCGAATAAAAAAACTCCTAAAAATATCAAGGCAACGTTTCAAATTCGGGAAGTAGCAGCACCGCCTCACGGCCCTTCCTTAGCAATGCACCACTGTGCATTGTCGTCGCTGATCATGATGGTTTCGGTACCAGATGGGGGAAGAGAGAGAGAAGAATAGAGATCGAGGAGAGAAGGAAAGAGAGGAGGAGAAATGCATTTTATGGTTTGGGTAAATGTATTAGGGTTTGGGCTAAAATATCTGATTTGTGAAAAAAGAAACCTTTTATGTAATTTTAAAACACAGGCCTTTAAAAGTATGGTTTGGTATAATTTCCACATTTATTAATGGTCTTTAGTCTATCTTTTCAATCGGGCTACCAAATTGTGGAGATGGCCTATTTATTTAAGGGCCAGTTTGGGCCCGATTTTTTCACCCAAAAAATTGATTTTTTAACCGTTATTTCACTATTTCAGCCGTCATATTTGACTTCTTCTCTCACAGGTGGACCCCACTTTTCTCGTAACGGTCAAAAAATAAATTTTCAAAATCACTTCCAAACAGGCTCTAAATATTCATCCCTTGGAGCCTATGAAATATAATATTCAACTCGTTAATCATCATAGCTCCTAAGGTTTGTTTGGGACCAAAATACCCAATGTGATCATCAATAGAGGTACAATAGGCCATAACAATTCATCTCCAACTTTACTCTTCAAAATTAGGAGAACAGCACTTTGCCACCGATTTTATGCGAAGTGGAGAATCGGTTCTGATTATATCTACTAGAAATTTACCTTCGAATTTAATTATTTCTTTAGAAAATGTGTTTGCTGTGGAATCCTATAAGGTTGATCTAATGTTTATGAATTGAATTACAAGAGATCTTAGTTGTTTGGTAACCTTCTTCCGTCGGTGTATTTTGCAGGACTTGATGATGAAGACAAAATTTGATTTTGGTAAACAATGAGATGGTGCTTGGTACAATGGCAACGGAGAAACCAAAACATAAAATACAATCTATAGCAGCCATTGATACCCATTCATCCTATTCTCCGATCACCACCTCCACAACCTCTTCCACACACTTATAGCATAGCCGACTGGGGTATTTATCGTTCTTTAGATTATATTTTATGGAAAAAAAACTAAATTATTCTTAATTATTTCTAGTTTATAACTGCATATGATGTTTGAGCACTCGCAAAACAGACTCGACTTCCTTTTCATCTAGTTCAATTTTATTAATTAAACCTTTTGAATTAATATATATTGACTATTGTGGATGACTATTCTCAATTTACACGTTCTTTTTTGACACATCATAAGAGTGAAACACAACATCTACTTGCCAATTTTTTCTGTTTTGTCCAAACACTATTCAAAGCTTCTAGTTCAATTTTATTAATTAAACCTTTTGAATTAATCTATTTTGATATTTGGTGTCCTTACAAGATTTTCGCTCTTTCTGGTCATATATATGTGTGTGTGTACGTGCGTGCGCGCGCATGACTATTATCAATTCACATGTTCTTTTTTCATGCATCATAAGAGTGAAACACAACATTTACTTGCTAATTTTTTCTATTTTGTTCAAACACTATTCAATGCTTCTATAGCTAAGATTCAGGTTGACATTGGAGGGAAATTTTGTTTCCACGCAGGATTTCTTTTAGCAAAATGGTGTTGAAAAATAAACAATTATGGGAGGAAAGCTAGAGAGAAAACACAAGAATTTCTTAAGTGATACTTGCACTCTTTGGCTTGGTTGTATCAAATATCTCAAGCACACAGTGTAATACCTTACTTTAAAAAAAGAAAAAAAAAGAAAAGTAAAAAAGGGGAGTAAGGCAGTGAATTGGATTGATTAATTCACATGCCTATAAATCCATTTCCACACACACCACACAGAAAGAGAGAAACGAGGTAGAGAGGAAAAGAAAGAATAAAGAGGGGAAAAATGAGGAAGAAGAGAAAAATAGAAAAGTTGCCAACGTGATTAGAAAATAAGTAATTTTTACAATTAAACTTGAATTCTTCAGTTTGGAAAGGTAAGTAAAAAGTTACTTATTGGAAGTTATTTTAAATTTTAGGGTTGTCAAATTGTTAGTTTAAATTCAATTTTAAAGAAGGAAAATTATTGAATTAAGTATAATATGTTAGAAATGAAATAAAAATTAGCTTAAGAAATTAAAGAAACTTTAAAAATCACTTAAACATGAAAATATTAAGTTTTGATATCGTCTATATAATTATTAGAATTTCTTAAAATAGTTAATTGTTAACCTAAAAATTATATCATATTTCAGGTAGAAATACGAATATTAGGACGGCTTACCAGTTGAGTTGATTTTGCGCACATATTTCTGTGAGTGGAAAAACTTAAATATTTTCAAATATTGATAATTTAATTATACTATTACATTATGTGCAATTAGGTACAATTATGTGATTATTATGGAAAGCTTATTTTACTATGATGCATGTGAAATTTCAAGATTGTACATGGTACATTTGTAAATTGGATTATATTATGTAAATATTGAAATCAACTAGAAAAGTACCCATGATTATATACTTGTTCTAGCTCACTAAAGGGCCTAAGCTGTGTTTTATATTACACTGAGGGGTCTTGACTGTGGTGAAGGGGTCTTGACCATGTATATATAGTTCACTGAGCGGCCTTGATTGTATTTTAGAATTGATTATGAGAGGTCTTTAATTATCCCTGTTCACTGAGGAGCCTGAGGTACGTGTCGGGAGTGATTAGCCTGAGGAACAGTCTACAATCGTATGATTAGATTACAAATTTCAATCAGAGGGTACATTTTGGTGAATTTTCTAGTATATTTGATGTGATGAGATGATTGTATAGATTTCAGTTGATGATTATATCATGATAATGAGATAATATTTTTTTTAGTTTTATAAGGTATCTCACATCTTTAATAATAATAATAATAATAATAATAATAATAATTATTATTATTATTATTATTATTATTATTATTATTATTATTATACTGTAAACTGTTAGATGATGTAAACTCAATTTTCGATAAAAATATATAATTAAGAAACTATAATTATTTTTGAATTTCTTCATTCACTGAGCTATCAACTAACATATTCTCCCACGATTTTTCTTATCATGTAGAAGTTGAGTCTTTGAGTATTTTTTGGAGTTGAGCCTTTGCTTCTGGAGTCAGAGCTACATGATAAAGTTTGTTGTATGACTCATTTCATAGAGTATGTGGTCAGTACTTTGGGACACATGTCCATTTTTAGATGTGATTTCGCATTACTTGTAGATAGTTATAAGGTCACTATGTAATTTGCATCCATATGTACATTTCATTTTCTTTTCATTGTAAAAATTAAGATTTCGGCTTATCCTTATTGTGCTGTGTTATGTTTTAGGATTTGTGTATAGTGGATTACAAGTCGGTAATCCTATTTATTTGGAAATAATGTCGAAATTCCATTAAAAATAATTTATAAAAGTTGCATATTATAGTACCTTTGATGGAGGGTCCGACTGTTAGTTGGTATCTATCATTTACATACATCACGTTCGGGGTCCACTAGTGGGGCATGTCACAAGGCCTTTTATAGGTATAAGGAGTCTCAAATATATTGTATAAATTCAGTAGACTAATTAATAACTTCTCATATATACTATGAATAGTAGGACAAAAATAACCATGTGGATACATGTATAAAATAAATACATAAATATTAAATAAACTAAACCATGAATTAAATATTAAACAAACTAATTTATGAATCAAATTTAATTTCCCACACTCATGAGTCAAGTTTATATTT